CGATAAAAAGGTTGGTGACCACTGCTTTAGAGTACTCTCTGAGCGGTTAACAAATATCAGCATATTGCTCCCAACAATCTGATTCCCCATTTTATCGACCTTGGAAGGATGGAAGGCTGAGTCAACTTTGAACCGGCCATGATTGAACTTCTGGCTGTGGGCACAGAGTTAGCTTGCAATACTACATTCTAACCACTGTGCCATCACGGCTACTCTGATAATGCCCTCTTCATATATTGACTAAATCACAACTGCAGGAGTTATATACATTGTGCTAAATAAAGCATGGTTTACAGGCCATACATTAATGGATGATTTTACTCGATGCCCTAAATTAATATAGAAGAAACCATATTATATTTCTTGTGGTGTATAAATCCAGCCCCTGTGAAATAACTAGAACTGATTTCAATATTGTAAATGCGTGGCAAAATAAATACCATATGGGACAAGGCATATAGTTGTTTATGACAGTGGTTAAATAATATTTTTAAATTAATAATTTTCATTGGAAAGAAAGAGACAATGGCATTGAACATTAGCTATAATTTAAAATTATTTTGACTGTGTCCACTTCTGGGAGTGTGACTTTAGCAAAATTTAGAAGACTGATTATGGCCAAAACAGTTTGATCTACTCTTCTTTTAAAGGGTTTATTAATCCTATAAATTGAGTTCTCTATCGTACATCAAGACCAGTATTTAAAATCTCTTCACAACTTTTTTCTCTACATATATCAGAAATCTAGTTCTATCACTTTATTCAGTTTGTTTGTCAGATTGATAATGGTAAACAGAAATCATTTTTTTTTAATAAATGATCCATAAATAAAATGGAAGCTTTATTTAAAATTTTTAATTCTGAGTTTCTAGTTATTAACTGCTCCAACTCCTTTCTGTAACAGATGGAGGAGGTTTTTCAATTTGTATTCCTGCAATGTCTGATACAGCTCCCACAATTTAATTAAGTTTTTCATTTATCTGTGTCAACTTCTATCACCATTGTATCATAGTTCATGGTCTTGCCCTTCTTCATATAGCAGCAGTAAATTTAATCTTGGACAGTACAGCTCTTGGTTCATCAGTTCCCTGATGTGGGTGTGAAAATAGAATGCTGAAACAGGATAACAAAAATCTGGAAATGATTTTGCTGGCTTTCCAGTGTAATTGGTTCCTATGTACTAAGAATTTGAAAATCGTTTGTTCTTCTGCTTCCTAAGAAGATGAAGGGCAGTGAGGTAGTTCAACGTTTATTTATAGATACTGATTACCCTGATTTTTTTTTTAAAAAAAAAATCTTGTTTCCAAGTTGCTTAATTGATTGCGATGATGTGATCTCAGCGGCAATATCTGGTAACTGGACAGGGCAAGAGTGTCTTTGAAAGGCCTCAGTGACTTTTATTGTTATTGGTAATAATATTTTTCTGGTCCTGATTTCTGAAAGAATATATTCAGGAGCTGGTTCTATCAACTTGCTATATGTCCTTGTGGCCTTTGGCTTGCCAGTGACAAATCTGTAACTCAGACTATTTAATTACAATAAATCATGGGGGTGGGGGGAAATCATGCAAAAGGCATCAGTAGCAATAGCACTTATTTATTTATTTTATTTTTATTTATTTTAATTTGATTTATATGCCGCCCTTCTCCGGAGACTCAGGGCGACTTACAATGCGTTAAGCAATAGCCTTCATACTTTTGTATATTTATACAAAGTCAGCTTATTGCCCCCACAAACTGGGTCCTCATTTAACCTACCTTAGAAAGGATGGAAGGCTGAGTCAACCTTGAGCCTGGTAAGATTCGAACCTGCAGAAATTGCAGGCAGCTGTGTTAATAACAGAGTGCATTAAACCACTGTACTACCAAGGCTCCTTTAGACTTAGACTTTTATACCACTTCACAGTGCTTTACAGCCCTCTCTAAGCGGTTTACAGAGTCAGCATATTCCTCCCAACAATTTGGGTCCTCATTTAGTGACCTCAGAAGGATGGAAGGCTGAGTTAATCTTGAGCCAGGGAGACTCGAACTGCTGGCAGTCGACAGAATTAGCCTGCAATAGTGCATTCTAACCACTTCACTCTGGTTCTGGATAACTAGGGTGGTTTTGGCCGGAATAGTTTTGTACAGTATCAATGCATCAGGTATGATATTAGAAAATAGATCTTGTACATGAGTGGTAGTTCCACCTTAGAATTCAAAAGGTATTTTTAGATGCAGTTTCCAATATATAAAAAAAACAAGAAAAGAAATGGGAGAGCCTATCATTGATAATGTATGTTAGACAGCTGGCTTAATGCTAGTAACGGTGGAGGGTCTAGGAAAACTCACCCTGGCCGTCTCTCCCCAATCAACTTGCCCTGGCCAACTCATCGTGGGACAACTTGCTGCAGGATAACTCGAGAGGGACAAGTAAATTGCAGCTGGCCTTGTCTTGCTTTAGTTTTGAACTTTGTCAAGTTAGAAGTCCTCGAGTTCTAACTTTGTCAAGTTAGAAGTCCATCGAGAAGTCCTTGATGAACCACAATTTTACTTGTCCCTCTCTTGAGTTATCCTGTGTTAAATTGTCCCTCAGTGAGTTGTCCTCTGGTGAGACGGCCAGGAGAGTCAACCGCGGTGAGTCGTTCCATTTCAACTGTGAGAGAGATCTAGGTGTCTTAGTGGACTACCACTTAAGTATGAACCGGCAAAGTGCTGCAGATGCCAAAAAAAATCAATGCAGTCTTGGGTTTTGTTGCATCAACAGAGGGATAACATCAAGATCATGAAATGTGATAATGCCACTTTATACTGCATTGAGACCCTAGAAAGTGTGCAGAGAAGAGCAACAAAGATGGAAAAGGATCTGGTAGCTAAATCACATGATGAAAGGTTGAGGAGCTAGTTATGTCTATCTTATTGAAGAGAAGGATTGGGAGGGACATGATAACTCTCTTCCAGTACTTGAGGGGCTGTCACAGAGAACAGGGAATTTGACTTATTCTCCAAACTTCAGAGGGCAAGACAAGAAAGTAATGGGTGAAAGCTTGTTAAAGAAAGATCCAACATAGAAGTAAGAAGAAATTTTCTGACAGTGAGAATACACCAGAATAGAGCTGAGACACTACTAGGATTAAAAACTAGGTATCCAGGCAATGAAATGAGACAGAAAAACATACTCTCTAGATTAAGAATAATCTTCTTTGCTTTAGATTTATTTGAAACTATTCTGTGAAGAAGAAGAGCCTTGGTAGTACAGTGGTTTAATGCACCCTGTTATTAACACAGCTGCCTGCAATTTCTGCAGATTCGAATCTTACCAGGCTCAAGGTCGACTCAGCCTTCCATCCTTTCTAAGGTAGGTAAAATGAGGACCCAGTTTGTGGGGGCAATAAGCTGACTTTGTATAAATATACAAAAGGATGAAGGCTATTGCTTAGCGCATTGTAAGCCGCCCTGAGTCTCCGGAGAAGGGCGGCATATAAATCAAATTAAAAAAAAAAAAAAAAGAACAAGTAGCTCTTGGAGAAGGAACTATTGTACTATGATAGTTCATTAGATGCTACTGGATGAGTCCTTGGAAATCAGGTATTCACACAGAACAGTATTTTTCATGTAGGGTACAGTTCTGATTCTTTAGCATTTATCATAAGTATTTTTTGTCATAACAATTTCTTAAGCTGGGGTTTTTGCATCTCTGCCCAAAAGTATCAGATGATATTAGTGAAAAATACGAGGTGAAATTAGGAAGGGAAGCATTTTTTAAACTCAACAAAACCTCTGATTTCAATGGGCCATACATAGCAGGTGCTGTTAGATACTAACGAAGTCATACCCTTTACTTCTTCTAAAAATGACTTTTGGAGTATTTTTAGTATTTGTTTTGCTGAGCTGATTAATTTTAAAAACTTGGCAATTTGCATCCTATAATAGCTTCCTGTCAGATCTATCATCTTCACATTCTGCTACTTGATCTTTGAAAGTTATTGTTAAAAAATGAAGGTACCATGTTTCCCTGAAACTAAGACCTCTCTGGATAATAAGCCTAATTGGGCTTTTCAGCGCATGTGATAAAATAAGCCCCCCACCAACTACTTACACTCATGTGCAGCCGGTCCCGCCATTTCCTCTGGTTGCTTGCTGCGCAAATAACACGATGTGAGGAGGTGAGGATGGAGCAGGGGAAGGGGGGGAACATGCCCCCACCCACCCCACATGCCCTTACCGTACCTACCGGTACCACTGATGGCCACTGCAAAAAGAGCAGCAGGCCAGCAGCGCACCTTGTGCCCCACTCCTGCCCCTCGTTTAGCCGCCCGCCCCCTTTAGGGATGCAATATGGGGGTGGCAGGTGGGGCGGGGGAGAAGTGGGACGCGCTTCTTACCTTTCCAGCTCCATCGCGTTCCTCGCCTTTGTGTCCAGTGAAACATGTTGTAAAAAAAAGCCTCCTTGCGAGTTCAGTCAAACTTCTCGAACTCGCCACCTCCTGCACACACACACACACCGATAATAAGGCCAAGTCCATATTTTGAGGTTCAAAAGAAAATAACACCCTGTCTTATTTTCCGGGAAACATGGTATATTGCTATGGGAGTAATAAATTTCAAGAGAGACCTGCTTTTTAACACTACCTTTTAAATTAGGAAGTAGTATAAAATGTTATTTAACAGTAGTAAACTCTTTGATTAAACTACAGCAGAGTTAACAAAAGAAACAAAAAGCTAATCTGGAGTAATTTTAAAAAACTGGGTAATTAGTCTTCTGTACTATAGCAACAAAGATACAACAAAGTGCTATATATATATTGTATATCTTGCAAAGTGTACACTCAGTGAAGAGATCATAACATGGAGATATGAAATGTAAGTTGGGAAAAAAGCATATATTTTAAGTCTTTTAGCTCTGAATATTGATGCTGACACTGTTAGCTCAAAGGTGGTTTTACGAATGCATCTCTGCTAAGTCTCCATGCTTAAATGTAAACTTACATTTGTTTGTTTGTTTGTTTCTTTTTCATTCAGGTGTGGATCTGACGGGGGCAGAGTCCAACAATTCTGACAACAGAATAGAGAGAGTGGATCTTTATGCAAAGGTTGATGAAGCACTCCTAGGAGGTGATGTGAGTTATCTCTCTCAGCCACTTACTCCAGAGAACGAGGATGCACTTCAGGCTCTAGCAGTTGCTAACTTGCGGGCAGCTCTTATGAGCAAGAATAGCTTATTGTCCTTGAAAGCTGACATGCTGGGAGAAGAAAGTTCTCTGCTCTTTGAATATTTACCCAAAGGCACACACTCATTGTCTTGTAAGTTGCTGTTTCTGTGTATACTACTACTAAAAGGTTAATTAGCATTCATAAAAGAGCTGTTAAAGCACATTCAGGTCACTCTTAAATTTATGTCCCTATATGATGGACGCCACTTGAAATGTTCTCAGCCATATTGAGAATCTACATTCTGTGTCTGAAACATTTTAGCTCCCAGGTCTCACAAGTAGTGGCTAGGGCAATGCATTTATGTTTTGATTGTACCTTTCATAATGCATGAAAAATGCCTCTGTGTATAACCCTTGCCTCCTCCTTGTGATGGTATGTTTTTAGATTTAAGGTTATTTTTCCCATTGGATTGTTTGAGAACATTCAATAATATGAGTGTGAGATATGTAGTATCTGTACTATTTCATTTGCTGATCAGATAGCAGTATTTCTAATGTTGCAGCTTAACTCTTTTCTGTTTAGTTAAGGCTAACACACACAGACGGACAAACTTGGCTTTCTATACAGAACACCTTGACCTGATTGGTTTTTTTGATTAATAATGTGTATGTTGTGCTTACTGGGGTCATTAAAATGCCTAATGTTAAGTATGTCAGAGTTTGATTGAGCCACCATATAATAGCTGGTGGTTTGCCATTGGTGCTTTGCTCCTCATTTTGTTAACCACAGAATACATGCCTGAATGGCCTTATCATTTCCCCAAAGTTTCCCTCTTCAAAGTAGCTAGAATCTTGCATCTTTGAGAATAAACCTTCATTTAATGGACCTTGGTTTTGCAGGTTTATTTTTTAAAAGTTCTGCATCCAGGTTTTATCCAAATTCTAGGCAATAATGGAATTTTGTTATAATGATGTACAAAGTTTGTTACTTGGGATCAGTCTGGTCAATTCTTGCTGTTCCCATGTGAAGCGGGCATTCACATATTATCAGTAAATATAGCTTGGAAAATAGGTATCTTCAAGACTGTCTATTCCAGTGAGATCCTTCCAGGATAAGTTGCTTGTTGTCACCCATTTTCATGAGGTGAGATGGGCTGAAATCAAAAAATGCTGTTGTTTCATCATGGCTCCCATACACTTGAACAACTTTCCTTCAGAAGGTAGATATCCCCCTTAGTCAGGGATGAAATCCAGCAGGTTCTGACAGGTTCTGGAGAACTGGTAGCAGAAATTTTGAGCAGTTCAGAGAACCGGCAAATACCACCTCTGGCTGGCCCCAGAGTGGGATGGGAATGGAGATTTTGCAATATCCTTCCCCTAGGAATGGGGAGGGAATGGGGATTTTGCAGTATCTTTCCCCTGCCACGCCCACCAAGCCACGGCCACAGAACCGGTAGTAAAAAAATTTGGATTTCACCACTGCCTTCAGTGGTGACCTTCCAGAATATAGTGAAATGATATTCTTCTGGAAGTCCTTGAACATTGTTATTGGAACCAAATTTTGGCTTGTTTCTTATTTATTAATCTTGAGATATGGTGTGAATGTGCCATACGATGATAAATAGATAGATAGATAGATAGATAGATAGATAGATAGATAGATAGATAGATAGATAGATAGATAGATAATCTTGTGCTTTATTATAATTTGTTTACTTTGACGTGCTGTTATAGAGGTTTGGATTTTATTTTATTGTAATCTGCCTAAATTCATTATGATTTAAGCATATTACGAGTTTGATAAATCAATTACATTTATTACATTTAACGTTTTACATGTAGCAAACAGGAAAATACTGTGGTTTTATTTCAAACTGTAGTGCAACATACAGACTTGTAAACCATATGAAAAACTTTGTATAATTAAAGTCTCCAATCTCTGCATTATAAATGCTGCTTCTGTAATATTGATTTAATATGAAAAATGTAGTCCATAAGAATGTTTCAGATTGTTGTACTATAGAGAGGAAAGCATATAATTTGATTCCTAGAGAAAAAAATACGATTCCTAGAGAGAAAAATATTAAAATACCGGTAAGTCCTGAAATAATTGGAGAAGTTACCTGGAAGTTATTGGTGCTTATTATTGAAGAAGTTAAGCATTTGGGTAACGTACTGTATAATACTGAGCTTTTTCCCCCTGTGCTATCACTCTGCTAAACAACTAATTCCCATAACACTATCTACACCTTAGGATGTCAAACCATCTAGTAGAGCTGTATTACCTAATATCTTCATCTTTTCATCTTTCTTATTACCTTAGCTTCTTATAACTATAACTTCGTTGTTTGTATTTCATGGTTTATGTTGATTGCCTTTATTTAGTATCCTATTATGTTTTATATTGTTTAGTATCCTATGGCCATCACTGAGTTTGTATCTTATGATTTATTTTATGTATTTTATGATTATGATCATGATTTATCACTTATTGTTTGTATATACACTGAGAGGTTATGCACCGGAGACAAATTCCTCATGTGTCCAATCACACTTGGTCAATAAAGAATGCTATGCTTATGCTACGCTATGCTATGCTATTCCATTCCATTCCATTCCAATCTATTCTTGCTAATTTATTTTTGCTGAAGTAGACATTGAAATGTTAATTTTTGATAACCACAATAATTACAGTTTGAGAAATAAAATTGGGCTTTTCAACTCAACATGTCAGATAGAAGGCCCAGTTGAGTGGCATCAGAATCCGGACAGAGTTGATGCTACTAACCTGGACCCCATTTCAGCCATTCTTTTGTCTAGTGTATTGAATGAAAATGGTGTTTTCGTTCGATGGATTATCTATGCTAGGAATTTCAGTAAGGGATGGAGTAGGGTAGAGTTCATTCCTATTCCTTCTTTTGCAATTCTCAGTACATTTTAATACCATTGACAATGATATCTTTCAGAAGTACCTGACAGAATTGAGCCTTGGGATGTTTTCCCATGGTGACTCAAGTCCCGTGATGGTAAACCATGCTCCATGGCTTAGGGCCAGGGTACTTACGGGACCGCCTTCTGCCACCAATAGCCTCCCACCGGCCAGTTCGCTCCCACAGAGAGGGCCTCCTCAGGGTGCCGTCGGCCAGACAATGCCGGCTGGCGACCCCCAGGAGGAGAGCCTTCTCTGTGATGGCACCTACCCTTTGGAACAATCTACCCCCAGAGATACGAGTGATCTCCGACCTCTGGACTTTTCGTCGGGCCCTAAAAACTTATTTTTTTCGGTTAGCTGGTGTGTCTTGATTTTATGGTTGGTTTTAAAATTTGATACGGATTTTAAATTGATAAGTTTTAAATTACGGGCCAAATTTATTTAATTATTTTAAATCTATTTTTAACTGTAACTTTATGTATAAATGTTTTTATTTTGGCTGTTCACCGCCCTGAGTCCGAAAGGAGAAGGGCGGTATAGAAGTTTGAATAATAAATAAATAAATAAATAAATAAATAAATAAATAAATAAATAAATAAATAAATAAATAAATAAATAAATAATAAACAAACAAACAAACAAACAAACCTATGGCACGCGTGCCAAAAGTGGCACACGGAGCCATGTCGCCTGGCACACATGGCGTTGCCTGTTCCTCTTTTGGGTTTCTGGAGCGCACGTGACAATCAGCTTGCCTTTTTGCATGTAACAGTGCTAAAAACCGGAAGAGCTGGTCTTTCGTTTTCCGGCGCGAACATGTGCGCCGGCCAGCTGATCGACATGTGCAAATAACCGGAAGACTTGTTTGCTGGCGTGCATGCACATGCGCTGGAAACTGGAAATACCTTATCCAGTGCGCACATGCCCCCTGGGCACCTACTCCTCATGTTGTGGCCCTGATGAGTGAGCGCATGCTCCCTTATCGGCATCACTGCTCTAGTCCTTTCTGTTCTGATCAATCTAAAATGTGTTTTTGTTTAACATGATGGAATCTGAGTTGAAGTTTTGTATAGGGTTTCTACTTCATACCTAAATGGGACATTTGGGACGGTTAATTTAGAGGTTACTGTTGATGTTCCATCAATGTTCTGATGTCCTCAAGCTGTGTTATGCCTTCTCATGTACTGTAACAATAATAGACTGAGTTATATTCATAATAGATTATGGTGTGGATCAATAGAAAATCTGTCTTAGAATTTGGGATTCAGCTGTTTTGGAAGGATTGTGCTCTCACTGAAAAAATTAATCGCATAGCTTGAAGAGCTCTCTGATTATATTCCGCCTTGAATTTCACATGCCATAGGCAGCAAGGAGAACTTTGCACAGCTGAAATTAGTCTGCTAGCTAAACTTAGCATACAACCCTGTACTTGGCAACAGTTAAGCATGACTTGACTGCATCATGTGGAGACCAGAGTGAAGCACTCTTATGTTGGGCAAGTGTTGAAGAACACCTAGACCAGAGGTCTCCAACTTCTCCAGTTCTTGGACCATATGCAAGCTCTAGGTAACTTTATGCACTCTGCATGACTACTTAATTAGTCAACAGAAGTGGAGGGTGTTATCTAAGCAGTTCAATTTGGTTTGTTAATTTTGTTTAGAAATGCAGAGAATGAGAACAGACTTTCATTTTCTCTCATCCCGTGTGGTGGTGGGGAGTGTGTGTGTGTGTGTGTATGTGTGTTTGTTTTCCTATTTATCAGTGGTCCCTTGCCAGTAAGACAACTTGTCTTCTTTCCTTTTTCTTACTCTTGGAAACACAAGGTACATCTGTAATCTTGTGCACTCCTGCTCCTGTGGGGTCATTGTGTAATATCTTAATTGTCTTATCATCCTTAGGGAGCTCTTGACAAAGTGAACGGGATATTTAAGTGCACTCCAAGGCCTCAGGTACAATGGCAGATAGAGTCAGAAAAGACATGTTTGTTCCTGGAATGCAGTTTTTTTCTTCCTTTAGGCTTTACATAGGTAACCATCCCAGAAAAATTACAGTAGTTATTTTTCAGAATGGACTGTAGCTGTCAGTGTGTGTGGGGGGGGGGGAAGAAACCCTATTTGGAAATAGAAAAGAAGAGAAGAGAATTTTTATTGGCCAAGTGTGATTAGACACAGAAGGAATTTGTCTTGGTGCATATGCTCCCAGTGTACATAAAAGAAAAG